CTATTGTTTCAGTGGTTTTATTCTATGATTGGCTGTCACTGTTGCCTTGAGCCTAGGGGCAAAGAAACCCTCATGGTAATAGGAATGTGCAGAAGAACATCTTGACCCTTTGCCAGCCAAAAATGAAAGAGAAAGACAAAAAAGGACAAGATACAGCCCACCAAAGGACACGTCTTTAGTGACCTACTTCCTCTGGGCAGGTTCTGCTTCTGAGGGCCCATCATCTCACAAGATAGAACAACCAGCTAGGGACCAAGGCTTCAGCATTCAGCCTGTGGGGACATTACATGTTCCCTCCATGACCTTTCCAACACTAAGTCTCTAAAAGGCATATGGTCATTTCTTGGTACAAAATGCATCCAGTCCATCTCTCAGATTCCCCACCCACAAACTTCATTCCAATGAAGTTCTAAAGTTCAAGTCCAAGGTTTCCTCTGGGACTCATGGCAAACAGTGGTGCGCCCCTGTCAAATCAAGAATAGACCACACACTTTCAGTATGTCGTGGCACAGACTACAAACTACAAGTCCAAGGGGAATATTAGGGAAATAGTGAGGAAAGAGCTAACCATAACCAGAACAAAAACCATCAGTACAAAAGCTCTGTAGCTCCAAGCCTGGCATGGAAATTATGTGTGATTATGCGCTGTAAGCCCTAATAGGCTTGAGGAGACCCACTCCTATGGCCTTGCTGACTGTAGGCTCATGTCCTCCCTCTTCTTGGATCGCCTGTGCTTGCACATGAGAGAAAAATGCAATATTTATCATTCTAAATATGACTTATTTTACTTAATACAAAGATCTCTAGTTGTCTTTTTGAGTTTCATATTTATATAATTCATTAATATTCATATATCACATATATTTCACATATATTTTTCTGTCCATTTATCATTAGGAATCTAGACTAGCTCAATATCTTAGTTGAATGCATAGTAGTATGAATGATAAATATGGGTATACCAATATCCCATGATTTGCTGACAGGAGTGGTAAAACTGGGCCATATGGGGGTTTTATTTGTAGCTTTTTGAAGTACTTCCATCCTAGTTATCATAGTGGCTAGACTAATTTACATCCCCACTAGCAGCTTATAAGAGTTCATCTCACCAGTACTCTCACCAATATTTGCTATCACTTGTTTTCTGGATGAGTTTGTGGAATTTCGTTGCTTGTTCTTCTTATTCATTTAATATACTTTTTTATGAAATTGGAGGTATCAATTTTTGGTGCAATTGTATTTACAATCATTGTAACATATTGTTGTACTGGGTCTCCTTCATAAACCTGTGTGAAAGACTTTTTGTGGGGAGATGCAACACACACACACACACACACTCACACACATTCACCCTAGAAACTCATGGCAGATCAAAGTAACAATTGCACCAAAGTCCAACTTGGTGAACCAGAATTTGTATTGGGTCACTAGTAGGAACATGAGTAAGAGGTTTCTTACAGTAGGAGGTATGATTCAAATCATCAGTATCACCAAAAATTTTACCCCAACATAGATGATGACTCATGAGAGCTGCAACCCTGGAACTCTCTCTGAAAGTTGGACAGGTCCACGATATCTCCTTCTGTATCTCATCTCCTCTATCAGTGATTTATTCATTCTATAAAGCTGGGCAGTAACTCTTGAGAACCCTTCAAGTTTATTCTTTCCCAGCCATGTGAAATTTTGTTTACCTCCTAGAGGGAACATTTCAGCTCAGAGAACACTGATATGTAACAACACATGTAGTCACCTTCTTTATCGCTTCTGGCTAGCTTTGTCAGGTATACGTATTTTTAGTTTCCATTTGCTTTGCAAATTACTTACATCCTGCCATTCTCAGTCTGCATGGATCTTTGCCAGTGAGATGTTTTTCTGGTAGACAACAAAAAGTTTGACCTTGTTTTTAAAATCCAAACAGCTATTCCTCATCTTTTAATTGGATAAGTAAGCCATGTACATTTAGAGTTAGTATGAAGAGAGATTCCCTAATTTCTTTAACTTTGATGGTTGTTATTCTGGTGGTTCAATTGTTTATTCTTTTGTTTCTACCCTATTGCTTTATGAGAGTTTGGTGAGTTGCCAAGGTGGACATGATTGATTCACTCCAAGTTCTCCTTTGTTCATCTAATACTCATAAGAAATTTATTTTTTCCTGTATTCTCATGGTTGAGGTTGTCATTGCTCCGCCTTAGTGGTTAAGTTTCCTTTAATGTATCTTCTTCAATGCTGGCTTGGTGGTCATGAGAACTTTTGTTTGTACTTAGGTTTAAATGTTTTTTGTTCTCCATGGATTTTTTTTTTTGGTTTTTACAAGACAGGGTTTCTCTGTATTGTTTTGGAGGCTTATCGGTCCAGCCCGGCCTCAAACTCACAGAGATCCGCCTGCCTCTGCCTCCCGAGTGCTGGGATTAAAGGTGTGCGCCACCACCGCCCGGCCTTCTCCGTGGATTTTTAAAAGATAAATTTGGCTTTGGATGTAGCAATCTCCATTTGCTATTATTTACTTTTAGGGTTTGAAATACATCATCCCATGCTTTCCTAGACTTCAAGTTTTCTGCTGATGTTATGCTGATTTTTTCAGCTTTGTGAATTGAGCATTTTACACTGAAGTGTTTAATAGTTTCCCTTTGTTTCGTAACTTTCTCATCTTGATTGTTATTTGTTGCATTGTGCATTTTCTCTGGTCACATCTATTTTGGGGTTCTAAGTGCCTCTTGTGTTTGAAAGCTCACTTCTTTGCTTAGATTGAGAACTTTTCTGCCACAGTATGTCATGCTTTTGCTTGAAATCTAGTTGGACCCCTCCATGACACCATTATTCTTGTATTCTGAAAGTCTCCAAATCCAGCATCATGGGAAAGATCTGTCACTAGCCTGAGCAGTAACAGGGTTCCTTGAATGACAGCTATAGTGTCCAGTGTCATTTAAATGTCTACATGTTCTCATACCTTCCCTATATGGCTGTGTGCAAGGACAACTCCCTAGGATTTCTTCTTAAAGAAAAGAATTTTAAGTAATCTTGAATCATGTATGATTTTAAGTGACCCAACAGATTCCTGAGACACTTTATCATGTTGCCTAGTGTCCTAATGTAAAGTATTTGGCTTTGTTTTTAGTGGTCTTAATATTTTGAACTGCCCAATTCTCCATTTTCAGAATTTTCTTTTTTAAGACTTCTTGGAGAATTTTCCATGTTTTGACCATATTCACCCTCTTCCAACTTCTTTCAGATCTACCCTACTTTTCCTACCCACCTATTTGGGTCTAATAAAATGTCAATAGCAAAAACCACATCATGTTGAATTTATGCTGCCCACTTACTCTTGAATGCATGGTCTTCCAACTAAAGACCATACCCTTAAAAAGAACTGACTCTTCTGGTCCCAGTATCTATGTGTCAATAGGTGCTAAGCTCTGTGTGGGACTTAATGCCTACCTCCTCTCTCCATGCTGGTATGTTTTTCTGGCTTAAACCTGCAGAGGTCTCATGTATGTTGTCACAGCCACAGTCAGTTCATAAATGGTACTTCCCCATTGTGCCTGAAAAACATTATTTCCTCTTAATCTTCCAGGACATCTGGCTCTCGAAATCTTTAAACCTCCTCTTCCATGGTGATTGTTGAGATGCAGACATGATACAGATGTTTCTTTAAGGACTGAGATTCCTCAATTTCTTATTCTCCTCACCTTGGCCAGTTATGCGTCTTTGCATTAATTACTACCTACTGCAAATAAAAACTTCTCTGATGAGAATTGAGAAATGTACTAATGAGTTTACTTGCTGGCCAAATTGTTTTTCAAATCTCTTCCCTTTGCTCCCAGTTCTCATTATAAACTTGGCTAAAAGCAGCAGCAATAATCATAGTAAATGATAGCCTGCCTTGACATTTCTTCGTTATTTGAACTAGTTTGTCATACTTAAACTCAGCTTTCCACCAAGTCTGAAGGAATGGTCTCTACTTCAATTCCCAGTAGAGTCCTACCCGAAACTGTGAGATGAATCTCTACTGTCTTGTGTTTCCATTACTGTTCTGATATGCTAAAATCCCATCAGAACTACAGATAAGACCCTGATCACAATGCTCTAGTGTCTCTCTAGCTTGCCTTTTACAAATTTCTCTCACAAATTACTTCTAATGTCTTCTGAACCATGTAGTGAGCAATGGTCATAGAAATGACCTCACTTTTCCCGTATCAATTTAGTTTCCTGACATTGTGACAGTATCTAAGAGAAACAGTTTAAAAGAGGAAAGATTTACTCTGTCTCATACTCTTAGAAGTTTTAGTCCGCGGCAAGCCAACTCGGTCACACTAGGCTTTGTCACACTGGGCTTTGTCACACTGAGCTCTGTTACCGTGGGTATGAGGCAAGACAAAAAAATATTGCAGATGTGTGTGCATGAGGGAGCTTTTCACCTTATGGTGACCCAGAAGTAGACAGGCGTTAAGATGCCTGAGCAGATACAACTCCATGAAACATGATTATAGAACCTACTTCCTATAGTTTTCCACCCACGTCTAGAGTTTTCAACACTTCTCGAATAAAGTCCACTAGCTAGAGACCAAGTTTTTAACAGTTGGCCCATGACGGTATCTCATATTCTAGCCATCACAGGCAACAACTGTCAAGAGAAGGTACTGTGGCTATCACATTGTTCTTCTTCCATTGCCTGAGTCCCATGGAAGAATAGGTGTCCTGCCCCTTGGGCCTGATCAGGCAGATCTCAAGCCTTCTCTGATATTTATGATCAGTGAAGATGCAAGGAGGTTCATAACTAGCTTGATGATTGGCTCTGGCAATATGCACACATCTCTTCCACATGGCCATCTCTGCCAGTTTCCTAGTATTACAACACTTCCTGTTCCCGGTTTCCAGAGAAAAGGTCAAATGTGAGCCTGAGTAGTTCCACCTAGATCTAACTCTAACTCCTCTCTATTCCTTTTCTTTGACACTGGTCCATACTTTAAGCCCCATATCAGGAATGACATTAAGAGTGCACTATGCTTATCTGGCGTGGGAGAGACTATGATCACAAACATAGTTTCCTAGGGTGAGGCTCATCCATTACACTCTGGGTATGCTAGCCCTTTTTAATCTCCCTAAACACAGGAAACTCAACTACATAATTTGTGGTAGTGAGAAATGGCATTCATGCTCTCCCTGTTTGTTAATTATAAAAAGAGAGGCCATTTAACTATGTGAGTGCCTGGTATCCCAGCCAATGACACAGAATTCCTAATTCACAGACATCTATGCCCATGAAATGAAATGCAGATTGTGATTTCAAGTTGAGATGTTTGTAAATTGACTACTGAGAAAGAAAGATGTATGCAAAACAGAAACTCAGATCCTCTTCAAGCTTTTAAAAATGTATTGAACCAGGCTGTTGTGCATTTACTTTTAATCCCAGCCCTTAGGAGGCAGAGGCAGGAGGATCTCTGTGAGTGCAAGACCAGCCTGGTCTACAGAGCTAATTCCAGGACAGTTAGGGCTGTTACAGAGAGAAACCCTGTCTCAAAATTAATTAAATTAAATTTAAGTTATTGATTGCCCTTGAAAGAGTGAATGACTACCAAAGCTCCGGTTCATTCCTTCTTTTACACTTCATGCATGCCTGCCTACAAAGTGACATGTATTTTGACAGGTCCTGAGGATGCAACAGAAAGTAAATACTGTAAAGCAAAAGCAAAACAACAAGAAGCCTAACATACACAGGTGTCAAATTTCCTAAGATTTTGTGCTTCCTCAGTCCTTTCTCTGGGCTCTTGAATATGTGATTCTATAAAAGGAAGCCTATTTAACAGGTAGACCTGTGGGGGTCTGGAAAGAATCATTGACTCCTCAAGTTCATGATGAGGGTTAAACACTGTATCAGGAGGAGAAGACCCGGCTTTAGAATCATGGATGAAAATTATTGTTTGCCTTATCCTCATGTTTTTCTTGCTGTAAAGCCCACAGGAATGAAGCTGTGTGTGGAAGTTTGACCCCAGGAGTCTTTGGTGTTGACCAACATCCCATAGGGTGAAGTCATCAGTGCTGGCCTCACAGTCTCATGACCAAATACCCTCATGCACTAAACCAATGTCTTCTGAAGTCCATGCGGTTCATTCACTTCTGTCTATTACACATTCTATAAAGCTGCGGGGTGCACTTTGAGAGTACTGCTTAGGGTAGTGAAGTCTGAGACAGTTATGCGTGGGACTAGTTCTCTAGTTCTGAGAGTGAGAACAGCATGATGAGTAAGGACAGGGTTGATTTGCAATAATGCCTTGCTCTTGTTGTTGGGTAGAAGACGGTAAGGAATTCCAGTTACCACTATACTCCTCTTCCACTGGATCACATAACAAGAAGTTATAATTCAGTGACTCTGTAGTCTGTCTTAGAAATTTCTAGCTGGGTTCTTTCATAAGGTCTAGTTATTCATCATTTGAAAGTGTCTTCAAAGGCCATAGGAAAATTTATTTTTGAAAGCAGGCTCCCATACTAGTGATTCTAGTATGCATTCATGACCATAAAGACATCTACCAGTGATAGTGGCAGATTTTTCATGGATCAAGTCTTGTGTAGTAGATGCCATAATCTGAACAGTGGGTCATTCTCGCATAAATCATAGAGAAATTGAAGAAAATGTGTATTTTTATGGTTCGGGCTGACGTGCTCCTTCTCCATAAAATTTCAGATTGTATTTCCCATATGGTGTTGGGGGTTACTGGGCATCCAGTCAAGTTAGCTCATCTAGAAGAGGTCCACTGTGAAGTCCCATGGGCACCAGAGTAATCTTTACATGCTGCAGTTTGCTCACTGTAGTCTGGTGTTCCATAGTCTACACTGGCTTCTCCCATAGTCAGGCTTGAATCTGTCAGCAAGTACTGCTAAGCTTCAGAGGAGCAGGTCCAGAACAGCCAGGGCCCAGGGAGCCAGATACTCATATAGCCATCCTAGCATAGGCCTCACATTCTCTGGAAACCCATTTATTTTTTTCCAAATAGCTAAGTAATTAATGGAAGAATAAAGGAGTAAGTGAAAGAGTGCTTTAATCTTGTCCTTGTTCAGGAAGTTTTCCCTTGCTACAGCAACCTCACTAAAGGACTCTAAGACAAACATGCTACCAAAATACTCTCTGACATGCCTTCTTAATTTCTATGCTCACAGTAGAAAGAAGGGACCAATGAATCATAATATCCTATAGGGGGCAGAAAATGGAAATGGGATTATGTTAATATTCTCAAGATACATGTGACTTGTGGGAAATATTGACTTCTTAGATGAAGGAACACGGGACGAAGTTATTTCAGGCAGGAATAACAAAAGACCAGAGACACAGAGGTGAGAAAAAAGTCATGATGGAAACTCACAAGCAGAATATGTAGAAAAAGATGTTAGACAGTCAGGGACAGCAGTGGAGTCTGGCTGGAGAACATCCTGCGGGCAAATTACCAGGACACATACAGCATCAGGACCAAGGAGAAGGGTGAAGAAGCATCTGCAGAGGACAGTTTGAAGCATGTGGGTGAGCTTCTGGGGTCTTTGACAGGAATTTTCTCCATCTGAGAGGCTGGCCACTAATAGAGGGATGAAGAAATGTAGAAATAACTCAGACTTGGGTAAAGAGTGTAAAACTGGTTTAGAGCCATCTTCATAATCCAAACAGCTCTTTCTAGCTACAGTGGAAGAGGCCAACCCAAATCAAGAGAAAACCTAAGATGCCACCTAGAAAGGAAATTACTGCAAACAACAATGAGATATTTAAGAGAGAGAGAGAGAGAGATAGTCAGTGTCTCTATTGGTTGAATCTTGACTATAAGAACCATTATGGGTCTAAAGCTTCCTTCCCACACTGCACTTTTCCTTTGGTGATACTCATTTAGAACAAAAGTATGGGAGAAGAGAGAACCCTGAGGATGGAAAGATGTCTCAAAAAGTAAAGGGAAGAGAAAGACGTCCGAGAATCCCTGGGATCTGCAAGAAGAAGGGAGAAGAGAAGTCATGAGTAAGAAATAATGTAATGCCACAAACACTGGCCACAGGCTTAGCCATCCATCATCATAATTGAGACCGGTGATAAACTGAAATGTTACCAATGTGAGTAACCACAGGGCTTCCCAGTCCTATAGACTTAGAGACAAAGTCTGTCTTTTCTATTCTCTAACTCTTTTATTTTAGACAAAATTCTCAACCCTCAGTTCCCTACCTACAAAGTAAGGAGAGTAAATACAATGGTGTTGACAATGTCATCCACCTTTCATGACTTCCATGGAGATCATGTGCCTAATACAGGGGTTGATCTTTTTCTGCATATTTGTTTAGAGAAAAGATGGTTCTTAACAAGGAAACATTAATTATCTGGATTCCAATAGTTCACTGGAGAAGTAGTATCCTTAGCACCTATTTGCAATAATCCTAACTGTCTGGGTTACTGAATAAAACTTGGGTAGTAGAATATTCTCTATGCCAGGTCATGGGAAGCCTCTGTCAGTAGTTTTCCAGACTAGTGGGCAATCTACGGGGTGCCATTTAAAATCAAGAAACTCAAATGAGACCCAAAGGAGAGAAATCTGCTAATGAGCCCATCAAGTTAAAGAGGTAAGAGTGTTGGCTTCTAACCATCTGTCTTGTTCTGGCAGAGTGTGCTGTCCAGATCCCAGACCCTGCGTCTCCTCCAGAACCTGCCAATGCCATCGATTCCTATTAATCTGATGGAGCATTCATTACCCCAACAACCAACCTGCCACTGTTTGCTTAGCTTGCATGAAATCAGAGCTCCACAAAAATCAATGTGTGAAATCTTTTTACCAACATATAAGAAATCCGAAGGTTTATGCTGGTGGTAGCAGGATTTTAGACAGATTAAAACTGACAAACTGGCATGTTCCATGGTGGTGGCAATGATGAGGTGTAGCACCATGTCAAAGATTTGGAAAAGAGCCTGCTAAGAAAGAAATGAATGACTGTTGCAGGGGAGGGAGAATGATGCAGCTGGGTTATTGAGAGGACATTTGGATGATGTTCTGATGGCTTATGTTTCAGAAGCAACTTGAAATCAGGGCTGGCAGAGCACAGCTGTGCCCTAGGAACTCATGAGTAAAGATGAACAGTTAATGGCTCAAGCGAGGTCACTGTATGCAGAGGTTATGCCAGGACAAAATGGTGGAACCTTGGTACCTGCTTGCAGCAGTCACTGATCATCCCACACTCAGAGGACTCACGTCTTGCTGGCCCCATAGCTTCTTATCCTCCAAAATGGGAGTGGCAACCCTTCACGTTTGAGCATCTAGAAGCCTGTGTCAGGCTCTTGTTTCTTCAATTGCCTGAGGAGAGTGCATGGCTAGAAGCCCCACATGGCTAACTCTGTGCACTTCAATTTGTAAGACATATATCCACCCTGATCTCAAGAGTCCTTTCAACAAAGGCAATGGTCAGTGTAAGGAAGAAGAAAACCCTGCTTTTAAAAGCCTCCTCTACATCCTTTCAGCATTGAAGCACAGCATTCCAAAACCGTGACAGAATTCTGTTTTTTTAATTTTGATTCCCATGTCTCACAACATACTGTAGGCCATCTGCTTCCAATATCATGGGGCCGTGGAGTGTGTGTTTCAGGAATGAAACTCTCTCTTTAAGAATAGTAGCCAAGAAAGGTAACTAGTTTGCTCAGGAAGGAAAATAAATCCCCAGCAAGCAAGTCAACAGTGGGCCTGGAGATGTACCACTGCACCTGAATATTTCCCTGACTAGCACTACCCAGTGCTGAAAAATAAAAGCCAACAGTGCACATGTGTCCAAACCAAACTGAAATAAACTGGGGGAAAACATGGAAGATAATGTAGAGGAAAGACACAAAGCAATGGACTTGGTCTTGAGTTTGAATCTTGTACCTGGCACAGACTGGCTGTATACTAATCTTTTTTAGTGGGTGTAGGAGGTTTTTCTTCATTTATATTTGGTGAGAAAAATGGATTTGAAAGGTCTAACACTTTGTCTAAGACACAGTGAGTAGACTGTGTGTGTTTTTCTATCAGATAATTTGTCTATGCCCACTGCCCTAAGAATGTACATTCTGGAAACAAGACGGTTGGAACCACATTGATGCATGGTACATCCAAGCCAAAACTTTTCACTTTCCAGAGTAATAGGGCACAGTTAAGTACAGCTGACAAAGGTCGCTT